CGATCAAGACAACACCTCTCGCGGTGCTCTCTCTTTTTTTATTGTGATAGAAATTGTATGAACACTCTCCACTGAATTTTGCCGCCAGCGTCGGCGTCACCATCATTCATCGTATATGTATGCGTATCTATAGAAATAAAAAGGCAAGAAAGAAAAATAATCCAGATAAAGACTCTGGCGCGTAAAATGAATCGTCCGACCTCTTGCTTCTGAGTGTGCGGCGTTAGCCACTGAGCCACAAAAAAGCACCTCTTTCACCATTAAAACGGCAAGCTATTTATATCTACCACTTACCGCTGGCTAAGCCCATCTCGTGGAACCATCGTGTTTTCAGCAGTACCAGTGAGATGGCACAATAAGCACGCATCGCCAGATCCTCCCGACGTGGCGGCGCGCGCTCACATCCCCCACACGTAATTTGCCCCACTTATGCGTGCGCTTATCTCGCGGCGGGGAGAATCGTACACCTTGGGCTTTCACGGAAACAATTATATTGTAGATACTGGGCGAACAAAGGTCACAGCACTTACTGCAAGTCTCCGTTTGCGAAAAAGACGCGCTTTTCAGACACAGCGAAGTAACAACTGAGACACTAAGGCCCGTATTCACAAACCATCCTTGGCCTTACCTCACGCTTTCCTCAGCTTTATGTACTCTCTAAATGTGCTACGAAGGCACAAAAGTGGTAACAGCGTGAAGGATGAGGACAAGAGTGGTGCATGAACACTGGAAGTCTTTGTTCAGAACACTGGCATTCTTTGCCTATATTTCTTTTTATTTTTTTCCTTTAATCTGTAGCCTTTCCATTCCTCCTACCTCTTACTTTACTGTAACTGGTGGGCATTAAAGCGTCTTGCGGCTAAGGCGTACCACACACACCCAATTCAAGAAGTTTGCTGCACCACCATTATCATCATCAACCCCATATTAGTTCGACATAATGTTCTTTTTCAATTCTCTATATAGCGCACTAGATATCACTGCATCCTCATATCTCATCAGACTAGCTGAGCTAGGAAATTGTCCTTATGTTTAATTCCTGATTTGAACGCTGTGGAGAGACAGTGAAGAATACGGAATTCGTGAACTATGATGCTTCCATAAATGTGGCGCTGTGGGATAATTGAAATCCACGTGTGTCTTGACATCATCTTTTCTGGAGTGAGTGTAGCATTCGTAAATTCGCTGTTGTAGCAGTGCGACCTTGTAAGTTATGTTTGGGGCACGCGAAGGATGGCCAGTCGGTAGATGGCACCCGACGAAAAGTGAAGTTAATGAAAAGAAGCGGCCCAGACGCGGAATAAGCCGTTCTTCTCGAAACGCGTCGTTGTCGTCAAACACCGTGAGCCTTTGTTCACCGCACCTTGTGCTGGGGAGTCACCAGCATGGCAATAGTGCTCTCACGATGAGCCAGGCTGAGAAATAAGAGGTCGTTGTCACGACACCGCTTCCAACAAGATAATGTGGTGCCACGCTGAAACAATACGTGTGGATAGACGGCAGAACCGTGTCTACTAACTCCAGACAGCCGACCGGCCGTCTACACAGGCTTGTTGTCGCATGAAAGTATCTTTTAAGCTGTACGTCGACGAAATGACGGAGTTCGTCTTAGCCGTTGCTCGGAGGATAGCAAAGTGTGGGAACGTAGAGGCGGAGACCCGTCTCTTAGGAAAGGGGAATTGTTTGCTGCATTGGTGGAGCATTGAGTAGGGATTCGCCCCACAAGGTGAAACTTGGCTACGACCTGCTACTTTGGAATCTTTTTTGCTAGTATACCTAATGAAGCTATAAGGTTTAAAATTAAGGAAACAACTTGTCTAACTACTTGAAAGTGAAATGTCCTAATAGCACTGCAGAATTTGAGTGATTCATTCATTCATTAATTGTTTGATTGACTGTATGATTGATTGATATGTGAAGTTTTATGTCCCAAAATCACCATATGATTAAGAGAGACGTCGTAGTGTAAAGCTCCGAAAATTTTGACTACCTAGGATTCTGTAACGTGCACCCGAATCTAAGCACACGGGTCTACAGCACACGGCTCTAAGCGCACAGGCCTACAGGATCGAAAATGCAGCCGCTGCAGCCAGGATTCGATGCCGTGACCTGCGGGTCAGCAACTGAGTACATTAGCCACTAGACCACCGCGGCGGGGGGCACTGCACAATTTGCCTAGGGTAAAACGGAAGTGTAATCACTCGCAGGATTAAATCAATGTCGGAGATTTTCGAAAAAACATCAGTTCCGAGACTTGTGATGCTTCGCCTCATAACTCAGCAGGGCAGTTGGCTTAATATTCAGATCGTGGCATCTTCTTTCTTGTCATTTGCCGGAGACGGTAAATTACGCACATTAGCACTCCCGTTTGTCGTTTCGCACACTGTGGTTGCGGATAACATTTGTTGGCAATCAAGGGAAAGCTACGGGGGTGCAACGACTGCGTGCATGTGTACTCCTCCGAGAAGTAGTCCGGTTCGGCACGCGCTTCGAATGACGGCCGTGTTCGAATAAGAACACTGCAATCTATTTGTTTCGTTTTTTTATACAGTAATATTGCGTGAAATTCACCACAAATTTCTTCGGTTAGTCGTCGAAATAGCTGACGGGCGATGAGCGACAGCTGAATACGAATACGAATTTCAACTGTGATGTGCAGGTAAAATGTGCGATGTTTTCACAGGCGCAGAAACGTAAAATGACACAGAATTAATTCAAACAAATATAAGTATCTTCTTGGTGCGCACATCGCCTTTTCATAAACAGAATCAGGGAGAAAATAAAGTAATGCTGTTTTTATTAATTTCACGCGTAAAACACGGACGTAACTTGGGACTATGTTCTTCAGCGGTGGCTGACGCCCTGCTTGCCTCCGAAGCCTTTCCTTCATTGCAAGAGAAGTTGTCCGCGAGTATAATTGGGGCACCACAACGACTACGACTTACGACAAACTGGAGAGAATCGAAAAAAAACGTGCTAAGAATATTCAATAAATATTTTGATGACCCAAGCGGCTTACCAATTAATCATTTGTTTATTGTACATAATTTGGCAGTCAGTTTTATGACTCCTACTGCACGTGCATAAACATAACCTGTCCCACGTCAGGGGTCTCAAACTCGTCTCAGCCGCAGGGGTGCTAGATTAATTTAGTCCAGTAAGGAAGAAACGAAACTGTGAGCGACCTTGTATGCAGGTCACTTCTGGAGGAGATTTGGCGCCAGGATTCTCAAAACATGTCGATGCCCAAAATGGATGCCGATTTCGAAACACGGTTTTTGTTTCATGGTCATGTTTCAACGCATGGTGGCCATGCGGGGTACCTCGTGGAAACGATGCTTTAGACCACTCATGCCTGTGTAGCGCACGAGCTTACTTATTAAGGAATTAAACATAACTCTGCTGCGAAGTGTGGGCCGCGTGTTTGAGGCCCCTCCCCTGCGTAATAAGCAAAGAGCAGCACCACGAATACCTATAAATTATGGAAAGTAAGACTTTACTTACAAAATACCGGCATTAAAAATCGTGGATGTTCGCAAATCAACCTTTATATCCTAGTACAGTTCAAAATACAATAAGTATTTTGCTACTAAATTAGTCTAAAGCCGTAAAATTAGCTCATTTATCTCGCAACAAAATTTTTTGTATTGTTTTATATTTTATATGCACCAAAACACGTTTAGATTTTCTGAATGTGCAATTACTGTATATGAGTGCATTTTAGCGTAATGCGTTCCCCTGCACTTACTGCTTTATTTGCGCGTTTTGGTGTGTCTCGCTCTGCATAATAATTCTCCTACAATAAATGCCGAATGATGCAAGTTATCTCACCTTTTTTTTTCTGTGACTGCTTATTCGCTGCCGCCTGTATGGTTCCTCGTTTTTGACTTGTTCCTTGCTCGATTTGTTTTACAAGACTGCCTCTCGTGCCCTCCTGTTTTCTCTTTATCAAGGTGAAAGCCTTGAGTGGCTTATGCAAAACCAGACGTGTCTATTGTCATGGCTTTGGTACGAAAGATGAAAAAGAATAAAAAAAGGTACGGCTAACTCTCGCATGCAAGTCTCACGCCAGCCAAGAGCTGTCAGGCTCGAACCTGACGCATGCCTGTGAAAAAGCGTTTCACCCACCCGTTCGACTGGCTTTTCGAGGTTGGCTTTAGTTCGTGTAGGGCTCTAGTTTATGCTACTATTGCATTAACCATAATCTATACATGTTTCTCAATTGTGTAGCTAGTGGGAGCTGCTCTATTGAAGCTGCACAGAAGTGTTCAATAAATCTGGTGGAAAGCTGCCTGTTAGATGTGAAAAGAAAGTTACACAAAATTTCACAGTTCCTATTTACGCGATTTTTTCTCATTTCTTTTTCCAGTGCTAAAGGAATTGTCAATGTAAAACTGCTGCATATTGCCACACTTTAGAAGTCTGTAATTGAAGTAGAAAAATGCCCCAAAAAACTCCCTGCCACGGTGCTAGTGAAGTCTATTTTTTTAAGTAAGTACCGACTTTATTGCTGGACTAGATATCTCGCAAACAGCGCATAGAAGGCACGCTCTACTCAAGGCTATAGCATCTAGGTGTTGATCTAAGATGTGATCACTCACGCGTTGAGCAGGGCTTTACCCTAAACATGGCATAAACAATTATTTATATTGCCCTAGACGCATGTCAAGTACTACAGTTTATCATACAAGGACGATGCATTAAACATCACTTGATTTTCTTAGCACGCAACCAGTTGAAAATCAAGCTAAAATTACAACAATAGCCTAAATTAATCAAGATTTATCATCACACCACACTCATAATATTTAGATAGCAATACTTGTCTCTTGATCCCCACGTTGTTCGCCACTGTTTAAAATCAGTAGTCAAGATTTCTCGGTGTACCTCCAATTTTCCTCTTTCGTCCATGCTCTATGAAGTCGATCACTTTTACGCGCCTGAAATTGGTATCTATTTCGATATGCGCTATAGAGTAAGAGGAATCACTCACGGAGGAATCAGGCCCTGGAGCCGCAGCGTCCTTTGCGGCCTGCGCGCTGCAGCTTGCTGTACTGGCACGCATCCAGGCTAAGCCGCCAAACACGGAACAGGTATGGTGTGCCGAGCGTGGGCAGGAAGGCGATGAGGACAGCGAAGGCAAAGGACAGGTCGAAGTGGACGCTGTGCTCGGGCCCCTCGTGGACGACGTGCACGATGAGGCGCAGCACGTTGAGCGGCAGCAAGCACACGGCGTACACGGTCACCATCATCATGACCGTGTTCTGCGTGCGACGCTCCTTGAGCCAGTCGAGAGCGTCGCCGCCGGGGGGCGAACGGCGCGCCGCTGGAAAGGCGGCGCACGAGCGTGTGCTGTACACCGACTCGGGCGCCATGGACGACGACGCCACTGAGCAGACGGACGCCTCTTCGCCGTTGCTCTCGCGTCGATAGGTTGCGTGCAGGGCCAGTGAAGCCTCCTGAGCCTTGATCTCGACCGAGACCTTCACGTGCAGGTAGATGACTAGTGCGACGGGTAGTGCGTACAGAACTATGAACAAGCCGCGGATGTACTCTTCAATGTTCTCCGTCAAGTTGATGGCACAGATTCCCGTACCCCGGAACTGATGACCCAAGTATTGCTCCAAGTCGAGAAACTTTGTGTAAGCAGCATATGGTAGGGTTAAGATACCTGCCACTAAGCAGACGCCGAGCAGACACAACGGTGGGGGTATCTGGCGCTTCATCGGGTTCATAGCATAGCGGTACCGGTCGCAAGCGATTGCCACGAACGTCAGCAAGGTCAAGTAGAAAGGAAAATCTTGAACAATAGGTGACGCAAAGCACAGGAAACTGCCAAAGACCCAGTTATGCAGAAAGAGAGTCACAAGAGTGATGGGCATCACCACGAGCAGCTTGAAGATGTCGTTGAGTGCGTTGGCAAAGAGGTAAACGCACACTGTCTCTCGCGGCTGTTTCTCGCGATAAATGTGAAGCACCATCCATCCGTTTCCGATTAGAGATGACACGAACAGCGAGCCGTAAAGCACGAGGAACAGCGGGTAAGAGGTGCGGAATGTACGCCGCAACTGGGGCCTGCTGAACTCGGACGTGTCGTTCTGGAACTTGAGCATGAAGTGCATGATATATCCGATGTACTTGTCAGGAATCTGCTCTATGTTCAGTTCGGCTCCTTTGGCACTTCCGTTCATTTTGAATATCTGAAAAACACACAAAACATGGTCAAGTTAGAATCGCCAAAACGTGTGTAAAATTTGGTATTTCATTGCAGTAGAAAATGAGCGCTCTCGACAGGTACACCATGCCGTTCCATATAATCAGTAAGAGCTCGTTATTTCGGCATCATTTTATTTAGAAAATTGAATTATTCAAAGGTGTTCTCTGGCGCTGGAAAGACCGGGAAACACCAGAAACTGTCGCTTGAATGACCTTCTCGAAAGTTATGGCGTCACTTTGGAAACTGTTCATGCCTTTGCGATGCCGAGTTTGCAGTGACGCTGTCGTCAGGAGCGATCCTCCATCGTTTACTCATTGATTACGTACTGTAGAATTTTCCTTTGTCGAGCACTTTCCTTTGTCAAAATACGCGACTGGTGATATATACATTGAATCACTGTATTTATCGTTTTTTGTTTCGCAATCTTTATTTCACGGACCTGGCGCTTTGCGACGCCTAGGATTGTAACGCCCCCCGCACTATACCAAGACATTTGCACAACCCCTTGTTTTCCGGACAAGAGGCATGTTTCGGGTGTTTCATGCCTTAATTACTCCATTTGCAATCTCTAAAGAGCCAGAGGTGTCTGTACACTGACACGAATGGCGCTACTTCTGCGACACGGCTACCACTGAACCCATTAAACGTATATGAAAAATTTCCTAAAGGGAGTTCAACAAAAACTGAGTTATGCGGATGTCACACGGCAATTTTAAAAGCTTTGGGTGGAAGCCGCAAGGGGCTCACGAGGCACGGCTGCACCTTTTATGCATGCAAAATTTCGCGTCTACTCTGACGCTGTACCACACCACGTGGGACACACCAAAGAGCAAGATAGCAGCAAAAATAGGCAATGCTGTCTATCCCTGCCCTTGTTATTCAACTTTTTGTTTTCATTTTATTTACCCTAAAGGCCCGAATGCACAACATGTATTTATGTGTATGTTAACTGTTACGATTCCCACCTACTTATTTAAATTAAATTTCTGCTTTTTCTTTATAACTGACTGTTTGAACGTTCTTTTTCTCTTGTGTATATACCCTCCTTATGAAATACCACAGCATGGACATTTGAGAGTTAATAAATGATGATGATGATGATTATATAGGGCTCAAAGAACTCAAAGGGGCCCGACCACGTAGCGTTGCCCTGTTTCGGTGGAAACGCAGTCTTTTCTGAAAATAGGGTTTTCTCCTTCGTCTTCCTTCTAAAAACATTCTCAGTCATACGTGTGCGTATTTAAGCTGTAATTTAATCACATAAAACAACAAAAAATGTTTCGACTTTGTGTTATTGGTCCCGTGTACCTGCAGGCATGTTTGCAGTAATGCTGCTAGGGTTGCTCGCAACACTGTACCATTTGTTTTCCCACGCATTTTCTCTACGTGTGTCGATTGTCAAACACACTGCAAGTTGTCGTCGAGCTCTTTGAAGTTGCGCCACCACGTAAATCGCGCTGTCTTTTACCATATCGGAAGAGCATAGGTCTCGCGTTCAGTACACACAGCCTTTGCTGCCTACGGATCCCACAAGAGTTTGCACGTTGTGCAGACACTACCGCCGGCGTCGACAATAAAAACCCTGTCAACCATGAATTTAGGCAGCGTCGAAGTAGAATACGGAGCACCGTAACAAAAGCGAACGAAATGCCGAGACCTGAACACCCCAGTCCGCATGGATAGGGGGTGGACATAGACTCGGAGACGCTTTTCTTCTTTTCAAAATGACGGCACGACGGCTTTTGGCGAGGCATGGTGTGGAGGATACGCACACTTTTATGCGTATTTCCTTTTCCTCGAATGCACGTTACGACAGGATTATGCAGTAAAAGAACTTTTAATGTTGATGAAGGGAAGTGTAACGTTAAGGCCTCTTTTTCTTTGTTCGAAAGATCATAATAAAAACTAACAGATAATACTGCAAGGGATAGCATAGAGGATGTTGCTGGAAGCAATCTTGAAGTGAAGAAAAGTCTTGAAGTGAAGAAAAGTAGATGAAAAGATTACTTGCGACTGGCAGGATCCCAACCTGTGACCTTTGAATAACGCTTCCGATGCTCTACCACTGAGGTACGCTGGCAATTATCCACAATTCTTCTTCATAGGGTTTATATTACGCTGCCCGAAGTCTGCAGACAGTGACGACGATGTACCCTTCAACAGTCTCGCGGAACGAGATATGGGCCAAAGAAGACGTGCTTGTGTTTATGTTTTGGCTTTTGTGCTGCATGAAACGGGCCAATTGGTCTTGAACTAAAAGCCCCGGTGTTTCGTTTAGAGTAAACTATGCCGCTAACAACGTAGAGTGATTCTTGAGGAAAAGCTCGGCTGTGACCAGGCCAGAAACCTCCAAAGCGCTGGCACCTTGGATCTTGTGATTGTTACCACTATTATACTTTGTAGAAACGCTAAAACTAGCTCTAAACAATGCTGATAATACTCCCGATATCAATCATAGAGAGGCACATGCACAATTAAAAAGTTTGCGGACACTGTTTTATGTTTCTTTTTGATGTTATTGAGAAGAACAGAATGGCTAGCCATGCAATCTATACTGTGCTCAGGAAAGAGCGTTCACAGGCCTCTTTGTTAGATGGCGCTATCATATGAACAACCCTTGAATTACTGTATAGATGCTCTCTATACGGGAGCGGAGTTGCGCATAGGTCCGTCACCTTGGCCGCCGAGGCATCCTGGAGTCACGGGAATAATTTCAGGGTATCGCATCTGTTTCCTGCGCGCCGCCGCTGATGCGATTGGCTTGCTCGCATCACGTGACCTCGAACCGCCATACCCCTTTCAAGCTAGCGCTTTCAGTGCACGCGCATCGAATATGCAGCGTGGCCTGCCTTTTAGCATTAGTGAAATACTTAATGGTAAAAAAATTTTCCAAAAGCCGGGTGAGTTCATGATTAAAAATATACCGATGATTCCACCCACATAGGTGGAGAAACGTCTGTGTAGCTTTGTTATATATTGTTGTGTTTAGTCGGGGAACATATCTTTCGTACGTAGGCGTGTTGTGAGTGAGCTTCTTTCTTGTCAAGTGCTTTTCCTTCTACCTTGTGCGCTCATATATTTCCACATTATGTTGTACCAACTGGCCCAGCATTCCACTTTATTGAACTTTAGTGTTTCGTCACCTTTATAACGCGTTATGCAAATGCGAGAAGGTATACATTAACAGCGGCTGAACGTCACCTGGCAATCTCGTCCATTTTTGTATTCCGTGCGGTAAAAACGCCGAATTAAGAAAGGTCGTGACTGCATAGACTTAATCGAAAAGAATTCGCACCCTCTAAGAACACTCGTTTCTGTTGTAGCCTTCTCGAAGTTTGGTGGAAACACTGTCACGTGACAGGATATTTCACCTTATCTGTTCGCTTTGCTCTGTGATAGAAAGCAACGCGCTACGTATTCTTCACTTTGGCCCCGCCGCGGTGGTCTAGTGGCTAAGGTACTCGGCTGCTGACCCGCAGGGCGCGGGTTCGAATCCCGGCTGCGGCGGCTGCATTTCCGATGGAGGCGGAAATGTTGTAGGCCCGTGTGCTCAGATTTGGGTGCACGTTAAAGAACCCCAGGTGGTCAAAATTTCTGGAGCCTTGCACTACGGCGTCTCTCATAATCATATCGTGGTTTTGGGACGTTAAACCCCACAAATCAATCAATCAACGTATTCTTCACTTTGCTCGGCTCTGTGTGACTGCGCATGCGTTAGAGTAAACGGGTCAGATATGAAAAATGAGTAGAAACATTATTAAAATAATAACTGTTTACAGGTAGACCTAGATGGTAATTGAGGCGAGATCATTTGCCGTGTCGCAAAACACAAGTGTGACTGATAGATTGCGCATAAAATTTCATGACATAAAATAGTATTAGGAGATGTTATAACTCGTATTCATTGCACATATTATGTTGCTAACCCGTTTACTTTCAGCGAACATACACTGACAATACAAGTTATTCTGTGAGAATGGTCACATTGAAAACAAGTGTGTATTTTTGCAGTGAACTGCACTTGTTCTTGGGCCAGTTGGAACAGCTGAATGTGCGGCATAAAAACAGAACGTCAATCTCGCGGTCCAAGCTTTTTTCTTATCGTCCTAATCTTGCAAATGCTTCTAACCTAATCGAGCTGCTCAGAATAATGTGAAACACGGTTTCTTAATAATATTTATTGCTGGGCTTGTTCATTAGGTAACGACACTTTCAGTGCAAAATGTACGTTTTCTATTGAAATGCCGTGTTTCTTTTGCATACGCCTCAAAAATTTTTGAGCTATGCTATTTCTTTCTAACTGAGTACACGGGCCTACAACATTTCCACTTCCATCGGAAATGCAGCCGCCGCAGCCGGGATTCGATCCCGCAACCTGCGGGTCAGCAGCCGAGTACCACACCCACTATGCCACCGCGGCTTGGTCTGCACGCCAGTTGGCCCGTACGTTTGGTTGTTGGCGTTCAAAACCGAGACATAAATACGCCGCGCACAACTTCCAATTATCGTACACACATGTGCACCACTTCTATTACACATATCAATAAGCTGAACGGCAAGTAATATTAAGGTGCACGAGCAAGGAGTAATTCAGCGAATAATTGAAGGACGCATTTGAACGCTGTGAAGTGGACCTGAACGCCTACTATATGCTGCATGTTCAGCGGACGCAATATTGACATGTTGCGTTCGTTTGCTCCTGCCCCCTTTTTGTCCTTGTTTGTCTCGGGAAAAGTGGCTTAAAGATGAATTCACCTAGTGTAGAAGTAAACGGCGTCTTGCGTGAAGTCACTGAACACATCCGCCTCCGTACATAGACGCAACCGTGACATCAAAGGAGATTTATGAAGTCATGAAAAAAATTAACGACCACATGGCGCCTCTCGCCCTACATTACATTCACAATCACAACGCTTACTATGTCGTTCATTGAAAATTATTGATAACTGGAAGTTATTTCTAATATCGTCTCGAAAACACACA